TAAGGAAGCCAGGGGGTATATAATGATTGCCTTTGAAGCTGGCTCCATGTTGTTTGGCCGGCTCGATTGCGATTGGCCAGGAAACCAGTTTCCCAGGCAATTGGCATCGAGTCGGCTTCCCAGCCAATCAAGAAGCCGAGCGGCAAGTAATGACCCGCCTCCGGGCTTCCTGATTGGCTGGGAAGCCGGCTCCATGCTGATTGTCTGGGAAGCCAGCCAATCAGCAAGGAGCCGGCCCCATGTTCCCCTACAGCACTGCCGATCAGAGGAATCATTATCGAAGGATTTGGGCGAGTACGAGAACTCGCCCAAATACTCGGTATCGGCACCGATACCAGTATCGGTATAGGTGCATCCCTAGTTGCAATAGATCGACTTATGATCTTTCATATTTACAATGGAGTTTACTGTACAGTTCTGACTATTGCACCCGCCTACTGAGCAGAGGAGCGAACCTGAGAGAGAACTTTCTCTCAGGTCCACTTCTCCCCTTAGTGGGCGGGGTTTCAATAGCCAGCCTGCTATTGGATATTGCAATTTGAAATAGCCAATAGCAGTCTTGCTATTGATCCCCATTGTGTACTGTCTGCTGCCGACCAAGGCAGTACAGTACACAAAAATGTAACCCGATCGTAAACTGAGGAGTGTCTGTGTACTGAGATCTATCTACCTATCTATCAATCTATCTATCTACTATAGAGAGAGAGAAAACAAATGTAAATGATCTTAAAGCCCTTGTTAACCAATCCAGTAACTCATGCCATTATCACAAATTTCCTAACTGATAAATCGCTACAACGAGGGGCTGAAAGCTGAAATAACCCTAAACAAATAACTGCTGTTACATGGCCACAAAAAAAAATCCCCAAAAATCCTCAAACACAATTCCACGTATGCCTTCACTCATCCTGGAGCGATTGTCTTTGCAATAACATTTAATGCATATCTACATTTTCAATTTGATAAGGAGCTGAATACATTGTTAACCATATATGCTTATGTAGGTTATCTGTCTACAGTAAAATATATACCTTCCATCCTCATAAACACAACTCTTTACATTGTGTTGAAATTTTACATACATAGTAAACTCACGTTATCCCTTTAATATAATCTGCATATAGTGGTCAGTTATATCTGGCCATCTAGGTTTGCCTAGTGAAGAGCCTCTGTTACATTTTTTATTTTTTTTACATATTTGGTTGATACTGGTTGTTGGTCATTAGAAGGAACAGTATGGGCAGTTGTAAACGTATTATTAACCTTTTGGGAGGTAGTCTCTAGTATTGTTACTTTTCCAGCTCGCTTTTCTTTACCATTCGTGAGAATATTTTTTTCCTTTTCTGTCCCTAAAATATACTGTAGTTTTTGTACAACATATCTGAATACTTGTTCCCCATTAGGAATGAAACACAAATAGCTGTAGTTAATATTATTTTAGACACTCGTTCTTACAGAATGCTAGATAACAGATATATAATTAGTGTGTAACCACTACTTCTGGTGTATGTAACAGTTTTGTAGATTAGAATTTTCACAGACAGAAGGCTGTCTTCTATGCTGGACTACAGAATATTTTCAACATCCCTTCAACATAGGGGAAGGTGTTCAGAGAGGCAACTGGGCAGGGTTTATAAACTGTCTGGGATGTCAGTGTAGCAAAGGAAGATTTTACAGGAAGTTAGGAGTTTCCAGGGTTGCTGGCAGGATCAACCCCAAAATATGTAATGTAATGCCAGACAGGGCCCTTAAACAGCTGCCATACAGTTGTGTTTTTAAACTCAGGCCATTCGTGGCCATTTGGGGATTAGATTGCTGTATTGAATGGTTTTGTGCAATGCCTCCCAAACACAAACCTGCCTATTTTAGCTGCTACAGTATAGCTATGTTGTGTATCCATGTAGTGAATGTATACATATTGCCATTGACCAGTTTGTGTCATAGCAATTGAATGTTGAAAAGCTGACAAGATTTGGTTGGGCAGTTAACACTCCAAATGTAATGCTGGTGGTTTCTCTGTTTGGGTAGAACACATAACTCCCCACAATTAAGGATAAAGTGTTGGCCTGCATACTGATGCATGTTACAATTTTGTTTTTTAAAAATTACAATTATATTTAAATCTTTTAATTATATAGGGGAAGAAAATATTTAAACCTCCATTGGCGGGAGAATATGTCTGCAAATCAGAACAGGCCGATAGCTAATTGTTTTACTCACCTGAATATTTTGCCCTGTCTGCTGAGAATAATATGATTTTCTGCATTACTCTATTCAGTCAGACGGAACCATGTTGAAACACTTAAATGAATTTTAAAAACATAGAAAATTTGTGATTTTTGTGTTTCCATCATTACTGTTAAATAATATTGGGGGAAACCTTGAGGAGGATGTGTATAAACCCATACATTGAAGTAATCCACAGTTGGGATTTTTTTTTTAAATGTAGGATTAATTTGGCTTAAAAAATGTAGCTTTAGGAATGGATCATGTTACAGTTGTGCAATTCAGTGCTGCAAAAATGAGCTGACAAAATGAACAAAATTGGAAGCACAGTATACAGCCTTCATTAATACAGGAGCTAATGTGCTCATGGGCTATAGAACTGGACTCAACTGTGAAACTGACCACCCAACCCTGCTAATTACAGTATGAAAGCTGCCTTATTTGTGTAATCTGCAGGAAGCCACTGTTACTTTGACAGTAGGGTCCTCCAGAATGCTGAAAAGGAAGGAGAGGCTTTTGCTCCAGTGTGCCCCCTCTCTCTCACAGCACCCACAGACGGAAGCTTCTCCTGCCTCTACCTCGGCCTGACCCTGTCTGCACATAGCATTTTTTCTTTATAAAGCTGCTCATGAGCACAGCCACGAATCCCTGAACTTGGGCATACTCCATATGTGAAAACCTATGCCAAGTAAAACCTCTGGCCACCTCACATTGCTATAATACTATGTGCACACCTTTCGTTATGCATAATGCATACTGCATTGTGGGATGTGGAGGAGCGGGCAAGTTATTTACATATGATATGGGCACTGGCTCCTAGGATTGCAAGGTACACAGGTCGATTTTTTGAGGGTGGCAAAGTTCCTGGAGGTACTCGTGAATGGTGCCTGCCTGATATTAAACAATTATGTTAACATTTACTCTTTAAAACACAATTAAGGTAACACCAGTTTTGTCATTTTGAACAAGGCATTATAATGATTGGCATTGTTGTTTTCATTACTTTTACATGATTATAATGTTTGTCGAAAGATTTATTGATATGCACCCCTGCCTTTTGTCAGTCTTTGTTTAAATTTACAACAAATTTTGTACAAATAAAAGTTAATTGAGAAATGATGTTACAAGTTTGTTTTTTCTAAAGGAGCTGCAGTACTGAAAATCTATCACTTAGAGAACCACTAAAATAAAACCCCAGTGCTACATGACACAAATAACACAAATATGTTGTATCATCTTGGACAACCAGGGGCATAACTTCATCTTAAAAGAGAACTATGGGGTAACCTTTTTATCCCATAGTTCTCTTTCGGGTCACAGGAGGACATATACTAACCTTCTCCCATGACCCAAAGCTCATTATATAGCAAGCTATTGCTCGCTATATACTGAGATCCACCCAGCTGGCTGATTGACAGCGGGCTCTGCCTATCTGGAGGCAGAGCTAGCTGTGCCCACCCTCTCCCCCGCCGTTCCTCCAGTCAGCACTAGAGGATTGGAGAGGGGAGGGGGGGGAATCACTGCGGGGAGCGGTGACTGACAGTAACAACACTCTGCAGGGAGATGATCGGGAAGTCAGCGAGCAACGGTATGTGTTCGCTCACTTCCCAATCTATAGAGCCGGCGTGTGACAGTTTCAATGTCACACATTGGCTCTAACTAGGTGATGAGTGTAAGTCACTCACCTCATAGTTCCCCTTTCACATGATCTGCCTGTCAGTTTTCGGATGCCCACTGCTAGTCTATGTACAGTGTAGCCGTAATTAAAGTATATCTTAAAGCAAAACTTTTTTTAGTTTTGTGTAGAAGGGGGAAGTGGTAGAACCCATGTTTGGTTTTCATATTGCTGTCTGTGCCCACATTCAGGAAATTCACTCTCTCTGTTTGTCCTGGTGACCATTGTTGCTGGAAATAAAAATGAGCGAAAATCTAACATTTTGAATTGCGTCCAGAGCAGGAATAGAGGGGAAATCTTCCAATAGGAATACTTGTTCTGGTGACAAGTAAATTTGGAAATTTGCCTAAATTTGGAGATATTTCCTCTTACCTTCTGTTCTGTCTACTGGACAGGAAGTGAAGGGATATCTCTTGAACTGGACACAGATATAAAAAAAACTAGCAAAGGTTTTGATCGTACCCTATTCTATTCAAAATCTAAAACATGTTTTGGCTTTAGATATATTTTCAAGGTGAACTATAGGCAAACAGCTAAATATAAGGCTGAAAAACGTATAAATGTATGTGAACTGTTTCACCTGTGGAAGGATTAGCACTTTTCTTTTGCGATGTCGGCATCCCACGGAGAGTGCAGCCCGTTTGTGGACCGTGCAGGCTACACATCACTACACACGTTATCTCGCCAATAAAGGAGCAGGAGAAAACTGAAGATTTTATCTCTGTGCTCTGCTTTTTACTATACTATACTTTACTATTGAGATGTATTTGTTTTAGCATACATAACCATAAGGGAGTACATTTCTTCCATCTATTTTATAATTTTACACACATTATTAGTAAAGGAACCAATTCATTCTAAATTCTGAAGAGGCTACATTTAACTACTATTCTGCTCTATCACAGGGTGGTGTAGGCTTCTTTACTTTCACTTTACTTTTCTTACTTCAACTAAAGAAATACCAGATCAGTTCAGATATCATATATAACTGACAGAGTTTTATTCAACGAATGCAAAAAATAGTTGTTCTTTTTTATCAGCAGCTAATGTTTAAGGAAATATATGACACTGTGTAATAAAGACATTACATGATTGCAGCCAATGTCGAAAAATACAGTAATAAATTCATTTTGCAACATCTATTGAGACAAAAAATGCATTCTATTTAATGCATTGTGGGCTCATGAATCTCCCGGGAGTTAAAAACTCTGTAGATCACGTACAGCTTTCCACTGAGATGAACAATAAAACACACAAATAAATTACAAACATTGCATAAAAAAATAAATTCACAGTTTCTCATTGTTGCTAAAGTTAATTTTGGTTTATGTTCCAGAGCTTCAATATACATTGAAATGATTATGTCCCCTTTTGATGTGGAATCTTCACACACAGTATTTCCAAAAACAAGCTGACAGAAAGAAGAAGAAAAACAATGAAGGCATGAATACAATTCTGCACAATAAAAAGCAAAGAGTTGAACCATGAAAATAAACAATGTATATGTGCGCACAGAATTCTAGCTTATAAAATGTAATGCCAAGAAAAGACTCAACACTCTTTGCAGTGGTAAATATCAACATGGTAAGGTTGCCTAGAAGTATCTCAGAAATAGCCAGAACAACTCTAAACTGCATTAAGAGGAAAACCATTAAAAAAAACAGGAAAATTGTATTTCATACTTACCACAATTTTCCTTTCCTGACTAGCTCCATGGCAGCACAAATGGGATGGTCCCATTTGTGTGCTGCCATGGAGCTGTCAGGGAAAAGGAGGTTCAGTCTGCAAAGGGAATGTTCACTAATCTTAGTAAAAAAGGCGAATTTGTGTTCACTTTAAATACCCAATCATGTGCAAGAGAAATAAGAAACTCACTAAGACCCCATTCACATTATGGGGTTGATTTATAATGAATTTGCAGTACGAATGGAAATATTTAATTTATTTTCCATGCTTCTTTGGCTCCATCTGGTGGTCTTCATGTGATATTACAATCAGAAAATCAGTTTTTCAATTACACTTGTATTATTACTATACATAGGGTTGGCACCTTTTCTTCAATTGAAACCTGGACACTCTAGTGCCCATGACAAGGAGAGGGGATTATTTTCTCCTGTGTGATAGCAATAAAGTTAGGTGAAAAAAACATTTAATTGATTAAAAAATGTTTTAATAAATAAAAATAACAAATAAAAAGGTAATTAAAAAGTAAAAAAAGAAACAAATTATTATTAAAAAAGTAAATAAGATAAATAAAAATCTAAAATAAATTAAATTGATAAAAAAATAATGAAATAAAAATAAAAAAATAAGAAGAAATAATTAAATAAAAAAAGTTTGAAAAAAAATAAAGAAACAGTAAAAAAAATTGACGCTAACCCCGCCATCTGGTTGCCATTCTCACAATAGTAAATAAAAGTAATTCACCGGCACACACTTGAAGGGTTTTTAAAGTATTGATATGTTTATTCAATACCCAATGTCACATACTGTCATAGGGTACGGTACTTTAAAAACCTTTCAAGTGTGTGCCGGTGAATTACTTTTATTTACTCTCATGTGTAGTGTGCGCACTCTCAGGTGGACTGTCTGGGATGTGGTCCGCAGGCGGGCAGCATGGTGTCAGGGAGCCAGAGGAAGAGGAGGAGAAGGCGATGTGCGGGCACCCTGTGCCTGTTTACCGGCGTCCGCAGCACAGAGGAAGATCCGGTCTCAGGCGGATGCGGCTGCCCAAGATCGCGCTTGCTGGAGACCTCAGCAGCTGCATCTGTCAAAAAATTTAAAGTGCCGGTGTCTGCGCTGAGTGTCTTGTGTCCGGTGTTTGGACATCCAGACACAAGACTCGAAAACCGGACCGTCTGGGTGAAAACTGGACATGTGGCAACCCCAACTATACAGGATTTATACAGCACCAACAGTTTGCATAGTGCTTTACAATACAAGGCAGACAATAGAGTTAAAATACAAATCAAGACAAGATGGTAAGGAGGGCCCTGCCTCTGAAAGCATACAATCAAAAAAGGAAGGGGCAAGTGATACAAGAGGTGGTAGCTGTGGATGAGAAAGTGATAGTTTAATGATTAGGCTGAGGCGGGATAGGCTTCCCTGAAGAGATGAGTCTTCAGTGACAGAGTAGGAGATAGCCAGACAGGTTGGGGTAGGGAGTTCCAAAGGATGGGATAGACTCTAGAGAAGTCCTGGAGGCGAGCATGGGAGAAGTTGACAAGGAAGCTAGAGAGCAGGAGGTCTTGGGAGGAGTGGAGGGGATGATTAGGGTGATACATTGAGACGAGGTTGGAGATATAGCCAGCAGCAGAGTTGTGGATGACTTTGTAAGTGGTTGTTAAATACTTGTAAAGGAAAAATATACGCACAGGATGAATGTTCACAGATATTTATGGGGTGAATGGCCGTGCAAATTCTTTATAAAACAACTGCTGTGTTTGCTGACTTACATCTTTCTGCACTTCATCAATGCCAGTCTCCGCAAGGACACATAGAATACAATTGTGTTCTATGTGCCCTGATCGCACTGCAATCCTGCCCTAAAGTAGGCTTCAGTGTGTTGCAGAATAGTGCGGACAATGCATCCAAGCTCACCTGAAGTCCCCATCCATTTTGACACCGAAGCTAAGCTGTGGTGCATAGGAATAGATCACTTTTACATTTCAATATGATTAAAAAGAGAATAGTAAGCAGTGCCTTGTGTTGTAACAATGCAACACCAGCCACTCCATCGTCAATATACAATGGACACTAGCCAGCATGTTAAAACTGATCATTTTAGCGTGCAGCTAGTTGAGATGGGCCCTAAGTGAAATCCAGTCACGTGCAAGAAAAAAATACAGTTCTGAGGGTTTGTGTCATCTCCCTTGCACGTGTCATCTCCCTTACACGTGGTTCGGTATTCAAAGTGACCATTGCTTCACCTTATTTACTAAGTTATCATTTGCAGTAAATCATCCCCAGTTATGCCAGTAAGCAAAAATATGACCTACCTCGTTTGTTGTGGTGTGAGGGTGAAAGCCTTTCCATGGGGTAGTTCATATCACCACTTTTTTCTTCCAGAAGTTGTTCTTTTAGTTTTTCCAGCTGAGTCAAGAAAACATGATTTTTATATAGCTTTATTTAATTGGGATATATATTGCTTGTATGATTTTTTTACTTATTTCTCATTTAAATTATTTTTTTAAAAATGTGTCATAGTTTATTCTTATTAAAAATGCATAAGGGATAGCCTCTATTAATGTGGCAGCTTGGAGTAGAAATACACTTATAATACCTTACAATAAAGTAGGGCTGTGCAAATTAACGATTCATTTCTCGATTAATTGTTAATCTTTTTGATCGATTAACATTTTTTTGATCGCTAATGAAAATACTCATCTCTCCACCGGCTGCCGGGAGTCCCGTCGGTGATCCGGTGATGTCACGGACATCGACGTCAGCGGACTCCTCCCCCCTTCCCCAAGTGACTCCATCGGCTAACGGCCGGTGAGTTTGCCCAAGAAACTTTCTGCACGAGCGCCAGCGAAGGCATTGGCCTATACACATACAGCACAGCAATGAAGTAATAAAATGAACTAGGATCACACTAATCCAGCACGTTATTATTCTAAATTGCCCCACTCAAGCGGCGGCCATATTGAGTGGGGCATGTGAGATTAACAACGTGCTGGATTAGTGTGATCCTAGTTCATTTTATTATTATAGGTATTTTATATAGCGCTGACAATTTACACAGCACTTTACATAGTTGCACATTCACATCAGTCCCTACCCTAAAGGAGCTTACAATCTAAGGTCCCTATCTCACATACATACAGGGCCAACTTAGAGAGGAGCCAATTAACCTTCCAGCATGTCTTTAGAGTGTGGGAGGAAACTGGAGTACCCGGAGGAAACCCACGCAAGCACAGGGAGAACATGCAAACTCCATGCAGATAGTGACCCGGCTGGGATTCGAACCGGGGACCCCCAGTGTATATATATATGTGTAATTTTTTTATTTTATTTTTTATTTCTTGTTTTGTTTCATTGTACATGTGCATGGGATGAAAGAGACTTGAAGAAATGCATTTACACACCTGTTCCAGTTGCTCCAGTTTGCTCTCCAGCTCCATCTCTGTAAAATGACACAATAATATATTTTTCATATATAACGGGCAGGACAGTGTTTTAAAGTGGATATAGCATAAAAA